CCCCAGCCGCCTCTCGCGAGCCCCTTACCTCCAGCCGGGGCGCTCGAGGCCGGTTGGTGAGCACAGCGCAGGCGCGGGATCAAAGGGGCGGGATGTCGTCTGGGCGGGGCGTCTCCAGGGGCGTTAGCGGGTTGGGCTCTCCACCCCTGGAGTCCCTGAGCCCTGGCGGCCCAGGTGTGTCGTGTGCGTGCCGAATGCCAAAGCAGACACTACTCGGGACCGTGAACATCTCTCTAAAGAGTGGTCTTGATTTACATTATGGGGTTGTAACCCTAAAACCACGAAGGAAAAGAAGCACAAGTAGTTTTTAGGTCTCTGTGTGTTTTAAAATAGTTTACATTGGTAGTGCCCTGTATTTTGCCCTTTCCTGTGTATTTTCTTCTGTTCTTACTAGAATTCTATTGCTAGGCTGGCGAGTGTAGAAACTGAACTTACATGTGTAGAAAATGAAGCTCAGAAAGGTTGTGCCTTATCCCTCTCATCTCCAAAGCCCTGTAGGGCAGACAGGACAGGAGTGCATATGTTAATTGCAACAAGCACGGAAACGCAAATTCAGACAAATTGTGATTTCTCTTCAGAAACTGGTGAAGTGCTTGATGCAGATGTTCTTATTCCGATTTTATAGGTAAAGACTTTAAAATTCAACAAAGAGTGTTAAGTGACTTAGGCCAGTTCAGCCTGTTCATGATAGAGGTGGAACTCACAATTGATTTTCATAAGTTCCTTCTCAAGTTATTCCAGTTAGACCAGCTGCCACCAACACAAGCAGATGGCTCGCTTTGAAGCCTTGTGCAGGTCACTGGTCCTCTTCTCTTGGTAACCTAACTTCCCAGAGGTAGCTCTTTATAAAATATGTATATTCATATGACTTGCTTAGAATGTATCCACTTATAGTATTGCCTTTAGAAGTCATAAGATAGTCAAACCATCTGTACGGAAATTCAATTCTTAAGCTCTTCCAGTGGAATGGCAGTGGAGGTAGCAATTGTGGACCACAGAGCATTCTGGCCCTAAGAAGTTCATGAAAAGGCAATTTCTAAAATAAAGCAGTTTCTAAAAATTTACTGAGTAGTTTGGATTTTCTTTTAGAGCACACCAAATGCTGATATTTATGTAGCAGTTAGCCCTAGGAATGAGATGTTTATCAAATTTTCATTCTAAGGAGAAAAATTAAAGTATTAGGTAATCACATGGGAAAATTGGGGGGGTTATGCTAGAGACAAACAACAGCTTTTGAAGTAAAAGTATTGGTGTTCAGTTCTGAAAAAAAGATACCTCAAATACAATAAACAGAAGTATTTTAAGAATTTTAAATATGAACCTGACTTTCTCATTATATGTTTGTTATAAATTAGGATACTATGTAAGAAGATAAAACTTTTCGATTGGTTAGCTTGATTTATAATAATATAAGTATTTAGACATATAGATATATGGTGTGTGAATCTTCTATCCTCCCTTCTCTCTCTCTCTCTCTCTCTCTCTCTCTCTCTCTCTCTCTCTCTCTCTCTCTCTATCTCTCTCTCTCTTTCTCCTTCCCTGGACCATTAAGTTGTTAGGAGCAGGCCTGACTACAAGGCAATGTTTTCCTGAGATCCTAACAGGACTCAGTAAGGCCAAACAAAACACTAGTATGCATTTAGAAAGAAAATAGAAAAACAAATCCTTTCTGGTGTTATGACTGCTTTCTTGAAAAATCCATGGGAATTAATTTAAAGAAGTTCACTAAGCTGGTAAGAGAAACACCTTTCCTAAATGACAACCACCAATTTGAAAATGTGGGGGGAAAGATCACTTTCAAAAATATCAAAAATAATTTGGGTTTCTAGACAAGACCTTTTTGGAAAATTGAGAAGCCAAATGATGAATGGAGGAAGAGAAAAGGATTACAAAGGGAATGGAGGAAATCCCAGGGGCAATCCCATAAGTAGATACTGTAGTCATCCCCATTTTATAGACTAGAAAATTGAGGCCCGAGGTCAAAGTTTCACTTAGTAGATAACAGGAGTAACACTCAAATCTTATCTAAGATCAAAACCCATGCTTTTAACCTTATCTTTCTATTTCATAAAGGATACAAAGACTCACATATATAGAAAAATAATACATTTATCAGTATCCTCCTCAAAATCCCATTATAGTTTCCATAACAAAACTTTTTTAAAATCTCACATTTTGCAACTGTTACACTTTGCTTTTGGAATGCCATTTTTGCTTCCTCCCTCCCCTCTTCCCTCACCTCTAGAGCAAAGAAATTACTCTATTTTTTAGACTCAACTTCAAAGTCATTTCTAGGTAGCTTACTTCAACCTCTCAAGTACATGTTTAATGTACCCTTACATGCTAATATAATGTAGTAATCTATACTTATCTCGTTAGTAGTACTTACAATGTTTAATAGAATTTCTCATCTTTTTGTCTTCAATTACACTCTAAACTTCTTGAGGAAAGATTCTAAATTTTGTAGATCATGCTAACTAAATAATATATATTCACTACATGAATTAAGTAATAATTTTTCTAGTACCATAGAAGAGAGATTGAGGTCAACTCTGAATTTGGCACAATTGTCATCCCAGCCCATTCTTTTTTTTTAGGGAACTGCTTTTCTCCTCAAGGCCTGAATGCCAACAGTTATGAGCCTCTGGAAACCATTTTTGTCTAAGCATAAACTCAGGCCGTAATATAATGGTCCAGGAGCAGAGCCTTGATTCAAGCTAAAACAATAAAATATGGTTCCCAGGTATTCGGGACTGAAGTGAGATGCTAGCTTCATCTAGCTGATTTCTTCAAGAGAGAGATGCTGAAAATTAAACACTTGGTGTCCATGTGTTACTTTGGGTTACTACAACAAAATATCATAGATTAGGTAGTATAAACAACAAAAATTTATTCTTCTCAGTTCTGAAGAGTAGATATCTAGAATCAAGTGCAGTATGGGTGGGTTTTGGTAAGGGTCCTCTTCTAGGTTGCAGAGTGCCAGGTTCTCATTTCATGCACCTGTGGTAGAAAAAGAGCACTAGAGTGCTCTCTGGGGTCTTTTTTTATAAGGGTAATGACTCCACCCATAAGGACTATGCCCACAGGTCCTAATTACCTCTGAAAGGCCCCATTTCTTAATATCATCACATTGGGGGTTGGGATTTCAACATATGAATTTGGAGAAGAGCCACAAACATTCTCAGTCCCTAGTACCATGTTTTTCATTCTATAGAGAATAAGAAGCCACTTTGTTCATAGATCCTATTATAAGTGTAGAGAAGTGAAAATATCTATATATTTTGACATATATATATGTATATATATATACACACATACATATATGCACGTCTATGTATATATATATAAATAGTATATGGTCATGATATTAAGAAATACTGTTTTTTGGTATGTCATGTTAAAAATTTTAAAGCCACTAGCTTCACTAAGTTCTTTTGCTTATGATGAATTACGGAAATACCTGCTGCATTTCTGAATGTCTTCTATTTCTCTGTGCATTCTGTCATTCCACTATCCTGTCAATTGAGACAGTGAAAGGTTAAAAGGAAAGTGATAACAGCCATTACCTTTGGGGTGAGATTAGCATGCTGGGGTGCCAGAAATGTTCTATGTGTTGATCTGGTGTGATTATGTGTGTAAAGCTTCATCCAGCTGTATATTTAAGATTTGTGTACTTCATGTAGTTTTACCTCAATAAAAAGAAAAATAAAGAGCTAGAAATTCATGACTTAAAGCAAACAAAGCCTTTACTATTATTTATTTCTACTACCTTTGAAACCAGTGAAATGATAGCAATAATTCTTATTCTTTATAAAGCCCTGGACCCATTTGAAATTTTAATTTAAATGTCATGAAATGGGTTTGAACAGAGGGCCTTCACACTGACCATTTTATTTTTATTTATTTATTTATTTATTGAGACAGTGTTTTAGTCACTTTTCTCTCATTGCTGAGACAAAATACACAACACCCAAAGTTAAAGGGGGAAAGGTTTTATTTGGCCCACATTTGGAGGGGATTCAGTCCGTACTAGGCTGGCTCCAAAGCAGAGTGGCACATGGTAGAGCAGCATCACAAAGAAGAAACAGTTCATGGCATCCACAAGATAGCAAAAGCAATGAGGGATGTTCGCAGCTTTCTTCTACCCCTTTTATACTTTATCTAGATACTAGGATTAGGGCAGTGCCAAATCAATCAGTGGACTAATTTAGTAATCACACAGCCTTAATCCCAGAACTAATCACACACTCTAGACCCAGTCACCCCTGAAAAAGACTGCATGAGGCTTTAGGGGGACATCTAGACACAAGTCACAACCGAGAGTCTTACTGAATTACTAAATTGCCAAGGCTGGGCTTGAACTTGCAATCATCTTGCCTCAGCCTCCCAGAGTGCTGAGATTACAGGCCTGCACCACCCAGCCTGGCTAACTTCTAGTGCTTTCAATCAAGAGAGTTTAAACTAATATACACACAAAATTGTATTTGTTTCTACTATAGAATGATAGCATTTTAAACTGAGATGTAATGTATTCATTGATTTTGGTACTTAACACGCTTTACTATCTGCTTTACTATTTCCTGGCATCACGTATGAACACACATACACACACACTCCATCACCAAACAATCTGCTCACGTATATTAAGGTTGCAGAGACCAATTTTAAACTAGGCATAAACACTACAAGTCAACAAGAATACTTAGGATTCCCACTCATCTTCCACTCACCATATAGGAATTTTGTAATCATTTTACATGTGGAATAGATTAAATACCAACATCTGCTTATAAATACCCCACTCTCCCCCACCCTACTTTTTGTACTTTAGATTAGCTAGTTTAGCAATTCACAAAACTGCCTAGAAGTTATGATGTAAGGTAGTATTTATAAGCCATACTTAATGGATCTTACAGACGATTTAAAAGTTTTTCAAGAGTAGTTTAGCATCCCAACTCAATGAT